TAGGGCTAAATACAATCAAAACAAACGAACAATTAGTTAAGCCTACAAGGATCAAACTCTCTAGGTCTCTACAATGATAATAAACGTTAGTCTGATCAACTTTAATAAGAAACGCGTGACATCTAAGAACTATCGGATTCACTTTTCTTTCGTATAAAATCCTGAACTTAAAACGCCGACTATTTCACTGAGGACTGTCATTGAGCAAGGAAGTATCCGTTTGAGTATACTGAAAAACGAATTTGTTTAAATGCTTTTGTTTTGCAACTGGAAAGTGTAATTTATTTTCACACCTAAAAAGGATATAATAGTCACATACTCATTTCGTCCTTCATACAGAATATTCAGTTACGGCAGAAATACACAGACCATTCAGTGCCTTGTTATTTAACTTCTTGCTAGGGTGTCAAAAAAGAATACACTAATGATCAAAGTGTCAGTCTTAAGCACATGCAAAACAAGCGTAAGATTGTAGTCTTGCATTGGTGAGTTAAAAATAACGTTTAAAATATAAATACCGGCATTCATTATTTTATTTCTCGTACAAGTGCAACAATATATGTGATGTTTAATCCCTTAAAACAACAGTTAAGCATTTGACTTGATCATTAATTTTCTGTGGAGGTAAGGAGAATATTTCCTTTCCATTAATTGATTTTCTATAGTGAGAATGGAAGAAAATCTATTAAACTCCATCTTGGATACTGTATACGACTTTCTTACTTTTGATATAAAAATAATCGTTATTCTAAGATCAGAACTCATAACAAAAACATTTATTATATGTTTTTATAATTTACTGCACATTTCACTGTACTGTCTATTCCTGAACTTTTTGTACACGTTAGTAGAAAATAAAATAAAACGCAGTATGTGAAAAAGACCTTCCTTGACAATTTACGGTCATACTAAAAGATGACTTGTGGCGAGTAACAAACAAATTACTATGTAACAAAATCGGATGTACTTATTACTGTGCGTTGGGTTTTCTTACGAACACAAATAGTTATCCCCGAGTAACACAAATAATAAAGAAATACATATATACCCTGAAGAAACTGGAAAGGAAATGTTTAAAATCTCTGCAGAGGAACAATAATTAAATGTTCAATCGTTTCGGACAACCAACCTTCATCAGTAACTAAAGAACAGTAGGAAGAGCTGTTACTATACTGACATAGAAGATCAATCTCCAATTATTAGAAGGTCAGAAAGGTCATGAAAAGTGAAGCACAAGAAACTGGAAAGGAAATGTTTAAAATCTCTGCAGAGGAACAATAATTAAATGTTCAATCGTTTCGGACAACCAACTTTCATCAGTAACTAAAGAACAGTAGGAAGAGCTGTTACTATACTGACATAGAAGATCAATCTCCAATTAGTAGAAGGTCAGAAAGGTCATGAAAAGTGAAGCACAAGAAACTGGAGAAATATTTTGGTTGCAGGAACCCATACGAATTCGGAAGGGGTAGTGTGAAGGTGCTTTACTGAACAAAGGAAGTCAAAAAATAAAACAAATATATATTTAAATTATAAATAACAATTAAAGGTATACAATTTAACAAGAGTAGTTAAAGTTTAAAAAATGAATAAATACAGAAAAGTAAAACAAGCAAAAAAAAAAATTCACGGGCTGAAGTTGTGGGAAAAGCCGTCATCGAAGGACCGGTGCCTTTGGTGCGCAACTATTAACACTGGCACAACCATAACGTATTCAAACGTACTGAAATGTCTCGTTTCTCAGTACTACGTGAATGGCTAAGTACCATAACGTCCTACACCGTATACTGACCAGTAAAACGGCATACTCGAAAATCACGTTCTTTACGCTTCACAAAGTTGTGGCTGTTTGTTCACACTTATACATAAGTCAATATAGTACGATATGGTGCGTAAACTGTATAGCTGATATATATTATATACGGTGCAATACTGTTATTGAAAAGGGACCTACATAAGTATAATTGTGACGTACATATAAACTTCACTCAACTTAATGAATAAATATTATGCAGTGTATATTCATTTCAATTAACTTGTTAATCATCGAGTTCTTATAATATTCTAGAGTGACACATGTCTACACGTATACTAAAAAAAAGATGCACAATGAAAAGAATCGAATCTCTAAGACAGTTTTGATGACGCACAATTTGGAAGGTGAGGGTGGATATAGCATCGGTTCTGTAAGCCTAATGGTGTTATTTGTTAAATTTCCGTTGCAGGTTGGAAGACGTCGTATCAGTTATGGTAAATTAATTCTCTTCTTATTTGGCTTGTGTTACAATTTGGAGAGTATAAGTTTTGTCATGCAGGTCGGGGGAAGGGGATACCAGTTCAGTTAGACTAATGCTGCACCTGTTTGGCTTGAATTGGAGATTGAGGGGGTTATCAGTTCTATTATACTAATGCTGCTCCTGTTTGGCTTAGCTTGTAGGTTGGGGGATATCAATACCGTAAGAACAATGCTGTTCCTGTTTGGCTTGTCTCGTAGGTTGGATATATAAATTTTGTAAGAGTAATTTTGTTTTTGAACGGCTTGGTTTTCAGCTTGAAGTGGATATAAGTTATATGAAAATAATTTTATTTCTGTTTGGATTGGATTTCAGGATGGGGGGGGGGGGCAGTTCTGTAAGAAGACATCGATGTAACAGGCTCAACGTTCTGGTGGATGTCTTGAAAGTATCAAGATAACACGCTCTTCTACCCAAACTATAGAAACGGATTGAAAAATCTGGCCCAGTTCTGTTCTCATGGCAACTCCAGTAAGCTGACGCAAAAACAATCAGTAAAATTGAAAATATTTATTGCAAGTTCTGATTCGGAGTATTGATGGGTGGTCCAAGGGTGGATAGGTGGTTGAAAAATGGTTGAGTGCAACTAAAATCATTAACATTGATGACAGTACTCAGAGAAGCGCTGGCAAAAACCAAAAACAACTAAACTACATATTTGAATAACTCGTAAGACGTATAATACCGACCGATAATCTTTCACAATGTATGGATTATGAAGTCAAATATATTCAAGAGTCATGAACATAGACGTTATGATATCATGAAATAAAATGAAAGAACTTATATTGTGAAATGGAAACGGATATCTGGGATATTCTTATGCCTTCGTAAACAGGGATATTGATTTTCTATTGTTTCTTTTCATTTCTTTCTATCTTCTTCCAAACACTTTTCAATCGACCGCCATTTTGTCATTAAATAACCGTAAATATGGTTCATCAAGATACTGCTTACTATCGCCAAGTTCAATTTCAGTAACAACTTTATAGAAAATCCTACTACACGAGCTTTCGGACTCAACATACTCAGTCTTCAGGTACTAATAACCACATACCGTTGTAAGTTCAAATCACTAAGATATATTTAATCGTCACTTTATGCAACACATACGCTAAACAGCCAGATCACAGACTCCTATATTCAGATATAGCTATCCTTAACTTAAAACTGTTGACCAGGAGGTGGAGAAAAAAACCTGCCAACAGCGCTCTCCTCCTACAATTACTCTTAACCAAATAGCAATATTAAATGACACTTTTATAACGCGCTCAGAGCTGAAAGCACGGAAGGTGTTTTAGCAGTATATCGCGGTTTTGAATACTGGATGTGCGAAAACATCAACAAACTTTATAACTACCCTGTAGTTAGAAACCTTTTGTATTGAACGCCGTTTATGACCGAACTAAGCCATTAAAGAAACGGTCATGAAATACTTTTTTTTCACTGATTTAAAACAAATTTAACGGGCTGAGAAGAGAGTTAAAGTCAATTATAAATACAAGTTCCGATAATATGTATACTAATAAAAAATCCTAATCATATAACAAGAAGTATAGAGGGCCAAGATTATTTGTTTGTTTGAAGTTAAGCACAAAGCTACTCAGTGGGCTATCTGTGCTCTGCCCACCACGGGTATCGAAACCCGGTTTCTAGCGTTGTAAGTCCGCAGACATACCTCTGTGTCACTGGGGGGCAAAGGGCCAAGATAAAATGGTATTTTTAAATTCGTTTTATGTTATGTTGGATGCCTTTTAAAATATTTTCTTTCTTCGAAGGCTACCTCTCCCAATTTAGAGACTTGATTAGGTGATATGGAAAATAAATCTTTAAGTTTTGGTGGGGAGTGAAGAAGACACGTCAGAGAACATCATTGTTTGCATTTTTAGTTCTGATCAAAAAAACTTTGAAACTGACACAATGACGACGAACACATGGCCATCACATGGTTCCTTTGGTCTAAAATATATTTAAAGGCACACATTTTTCTGTGTGAATAACTTGTACTTACGTTTCTATAACCCTTTTTTTTTTTAAATAAAATGCGGATTCAAATTTTAGAAGGATAAAACCTTATGGGTTTTGATCAACCTTCTTAGACTATTACACACACACACACACACACATAAGCAACATGTATTTGAAAGTTGATAATGACACGTACTTTGGTGCTTATTACTGTTTAATGCTACATTTAAATTTGAGCATGAAAGGAATTCTAACAAGGATTCTAGGCTCATTAAATTTTATTTTTGATTATCTTGCGTTAATTTGATTGTGATGACGAATAAAATATAAAGCAGTTAAATAACGTTTCTCCAGTAAGCAGAATGATTCACACGAGGTCCACATAGGTTATAATTAAATCAATATTCTCCTCATTCAGAGGGATAATCGCTTCAGGACTCGTTCTCGTAGTGATTCGATTACTGTGGTGAGCTCGCGCACAGTCTAGTGCTAAGTCAACAAAGATCTACCAGGCCTGAAAACAATAAACTTCTCAGAATTGGGTATAAGCTTGTGATTGCAGTTAGAGGGAATTATAAAATGCCACAAAATTAATATCTTCAGAATTGTACTACTTGAGGTTTAATCGTACACACATTTTCTTAGGAACATCAGCATCTCGTGAAAAAAAGACAGGGTTCCGTACTTGTATTGATTCTTCCGCTAGTGATAAAGATGTGAGTGAAAGAGAGTACTTACGAAATCTCCCCAAACGGCGTGAAGGCTTCCCTAAGCTGCGTTGTTTCTATTTCTGGACTCAAGTCACCCACAAAGATATGATGATGTTCTAAAAATTAAAATGTTTCTATTACTGACCACATCATTTTTTTCACAAACCACAAACTTAACTCTTATGATAGTAAGATTGGGTATAATTATAATTGTAAGAGACATTTGAAAATTCCACGTGTTTAGAAAGCTCGGCTTCTACGTCTATTTTATGTGTTAATAATAATCACTGATAAGACAGTATAAGCGCCGGAAGTTCTTGGGGGGGGGGTGTGTGAAACGTGCTTTCCAGAAACGTTTATATCATAATAATTCGCAAATTGGACCTACTTCGACGCAATGAATGCCGAGATGTGACAGAAATCAGAGAAATTATTGTTAAACACAGAACTACATAATAGATTATCCGTGCTTTGTCCACCGCAGGTATCGAACCCCGGTTTTTAGAGCTATGGATCCTTAGACCAGCCGCTGAGCCATTGGGAAAAGGGGTCTTATTTGTTGAACTCTATCTTTAGGAAGTTCAGTTTAGAATCTATATGTCTATAAGTGAGTTATTATTATGGACCCAAAGCTCAATTCAAGTCGGGTAAATCGTAAGCCTGTTGAAGCTTATGGGGGATGACTGACGGCCCTGTATTGCAGATGATGTCTCCATTTTCCGACACCAATAAGCATTTTACTCCTCTCTCTCCCTCTCTGTGTAGTAAGATAAGCGGATGACACAAATAGAAATCAATGTGATTTGGGGAATGAAGAGAAATAAAAAAGCTCTTGCATATACAGTCTGTGACGTGTATTGACGAATTGTTGGAATTTCTTTTTTAATATACTTTTTTCCTAATTATCTGGGGTAAATATATTAGGTCACCTAGGCATGAAAAGAGCAACACGTGCATGGCTGTTCTGCTAAAATTACCTTAAAAAATGTAGAAGCACAAAAAAAATGAATATTTTTAACATCTCATTTTGTCATCTAGTAGATTATTTTTGGCAGACTGTGAGGTAAACATCCACACTTATTAAGCCTTTTTCAAAAAAACAACAACATATATATCATACCATACAACATATATGAAAAATATGTGATATATATGAAACTTCCAACAAAACGTTTGTAAAATGTATCAAAAATTGCAACCCTTTCTCACAAACAAAGCAATTGGTAAAATTTAAACTTGTACACTATACGATGGGCTGCAAAAGTTGTAAGCCTAATAAAAAAGACCGTCTAACAAACTGGTTTGAATGTCTAGTCAGAGAAAATTTACATAATAATAATTTCTGTACTTATCATATCTTTTCTATGTGTGTCTATTTAAATGACGTGAGAGATGAGAAGTACCAAACTAGATTTTTATTCTTGAAACTTTTAGACTTGAAGTCTTGAGTTTTAAGAAGTAGTGGCTCTTAACAATGCTTCTTGGCATTTTCTCATCTGGCTTATAATACAGAGAGAAATAGCTACCACCAGAGTATACATTAAAGAAGAAGAAGAAAAAAACATGCTGTTAGTGAGTCCTTGCATATAAGACAGTAAAAAAGCTCTTTGCTTAATTTGTGGATATCATTCTGATGAAGAATCACATGTAATATTCATGAGAACATCAACGCTTAAAACCCACCACGTGCCATTAAACTCGGCACTTACTGTCAGTCGCATGGTTTCCAAACACATGGTGCTTTATGTACACATTGAACAGAAATTGACAGTTGTAATTAATGGATGCCATGTTCAAAAAGTTTCATACTTTTCTGATCAAAACACAGAATTTACAATTAAGAAGTCAACCAAAAAATGCCAATACTTTCCTCAGTTTCCCGTTAAAATGTTCCAATAGTATAAAATTATTATTGGCTTTAGTAATAAGTACGTATTAAATCTTTTTGCTGTTCCCAATAAAAAGTTAATAGGTATTTATTCATAAGTGATGATATATACACATAGCAATTCAGGCTCGGCTAAAGCTCCTGTCCCTTTAGGGGGCGAGTTGAGTTTTGGTTGACTCTTCTTAGAAATAAAAAAAAAATCATACGATTTTCTTTTAATTGGTAATATGCTTTTTTAAACCGTTAGGGAGAATGAACATGGGTGGGCAAAATTGAAATTGAGGAGTACATGGCCCACCCCCACTGTACCAGCCCTGATGCAACTGATAAAACGAATTCTACATACAGAATATTGTACAAAAAATAAAACACTTGGAACTATTTTCACCAGTTACTAAAAAATCAACACTACATCAGTACCACATTTATTAAAGAAACATCACCCAGAGCACTGTTTGTTTTTATATACACTATTAAAAATGTATTTTAATATTTCATTACTTATCTGTAACTGGTAAACTTTGGTAATACCCTTTCTTCATGGTAGCGGAAAAGTTCAAACTCACGTGTGATAAATATCGTAGTATTAAAGGCTATAAAACAAAGTTATATGATATGTCCCGCACGTGAACCTCACATCACGTAGCTTTAATGAACAGGGTAAACACGGGCTGTTAACAATATTGATATTTCAATCTAATTGTCGAGCTTCATTAACTTAGTAAAGAGGTTCAGTCTATTTAATAATACTAATTATATGTATATATATACTATCTAGGCAACGACAGACATGATACGTACATAATAAAGTCAGTCAGTACACTCAATACCATCTGGTATCCAGAAGACGTCGATTATGACATGTACTAACTTAGTAAAGAGGTTCAGTCTATTTAATAATACTAATTATATATATATATATACTATCTAGGCAACGACAGACATGATACGTACATAATAAAGTCAGTCAGTACACTCAATACCATCTGATATCCAGAAGACGTCGATTATGACATGTACTAACTTAGTAAAGAGAATTAGTACACTTTATAGTACCTGAACAGGAAGGTCACCTACACAACGTCGGTTATGATATGTACTAACTTAATAAATAAAATTAGTACACTTTATAGCACCTGAACAGGAAGGTCACCTACACAACGTCGGTTATGATATGTACTAACTTAATAAATAAAATTAGTACACTTTATAGTACCTGAACAGGAAGGTCACCTACACGATGTCGGTTATGACATGTACTAACTTAGTAAATAAAATTAGTACACTTTATAGTACCTGGAGAAATGTCACCTACACAACGTCGGTTATAATATGTACTAACTTAATAAATAAAATTAGTACACTTTATAGTACCTGAACAGGAAGGTCACCTACACGACGTCGGTTATGATATGTACTAACTTAGTAAATAAAATTAGTACACTTTATAGTACCTGAACAGGAAGGTCACCTACACAACGTCGGTTATGATATGTACTAACTTAGTAAAGAGAATTAGTACACTTTATAGTACCTGATACAAAAAGTTCATCTACACAATTGCGGTTACATGTACTAACTTAGTAAATAAAATTAGTACACTTTATAGTACCTGGAGAAATGTCACCTACACACCGTCGGTTATGATATGTACTAACTTAGTAAAGAGAATTAGTACACTTTATAGTACCTGAACAGGAAGGTCACCTACACGATGTCGGTTATGACATGTACTAACTTAGTAAATAAAATTAGTACACTTTATAGTACCTGAACAGGAAGGTCACCTACACGACGTCAGTTATGATATGTACTAACTTAGTAAAAAGAATTAGTACACTTAATAGTACCCGGAGAAATGTCACCGTCGATTATGATATGTACTAACTTAGTAAAGAGAATTAGTACACTTAATAGTACCTGGAGAAATGTCACCGTCGGTTATGATATGTACTAACTTAGTAAAAATAATTAGTACACTTAATAGTACCTGGAGAAATGTCACCGTCGGTTATGATATGTACTAACTTAGTAAAAATAATTAGTACACTTTATAGTACCTGGAGAAATGTCACCGTCGGTTATGATATGTACTAACTTAGTAAAGAGAATTAGTACACTTAATAGTATCCGTTAGAAAAACGTCATCTAGATGACGTCGATTATTAGATTTATTAACTTAGCAAAGATAATTAGTACACTTTATAGTGCCTGCTACATAAAGGACGTTTAGACAACACCGTTTAGGATACGTTTAATACAGATATCATTCAAATCCGGTTCCAAAGTTTCTATCTGAATACATGCAAGAGACTTGCATGTCTGAGAAGAGTGATGGATTTGAAATTTCATTTAAATTGACTCGCAGGTGTCATTTGAAATAACATCTGCTCAAGTGCCAAAACAGGGGGAAAGAACTTGCAGAAGTAACGTGGTAGAAAGAAGGAAAGTGATACATGTAGTTGTTGGTCACAGTAAGTACGTCTTACCGTTAGACTAGTAATTTATATTATGTGGAGGGGGAGGGATTGTAAGAGAGATGTAGGCAGAATTGAGTTACATTTTATGATTAAATGGAAACTCTTGTTTCTGTTTTAACTATATAGCTCAGTTTAGACAGTGAGTATACAAACAGTGTATATATATAAGTAAAAGCGTCATTAGTATGTTTATGGCGGAGTACTGAGCATGTTCGCAAGTGGAACTGCTGTACCCACTGACACAAGGTACAGCCCTGGTCTCTTTGTGGCGCATATAATGTATGTAAAATAAATCGGTTTTACAACAAGAGAATTGGATACAAAACATATACTCTTCTACTAACACCAGTGCAGAGTAATAAACGAATGAACTATCAAAAATTATGTTGTTACATGTGATAACGCCATCGCTATATAATTTGGGAGAAAATGCTATAAGACACCGCGAGAAAAAAAAGGTGTATACAACAAAAGATAGATGTGTTCTACTGGGTCACATCTGAGTGTCCATATCTTGCTTCAAAGAAAAATGTGTGTGAAACTGCTCATTCTGCCAATCAGCTCAGCAGGTAAAGGAGGGTCATCAACAAGCTATGGCTGCTGTTACTCTGGCTCCAGAAAACTAAGAGAGTCAAATTCGGGTCTGGCCACTGACAAAATGAAATACAACATTCAGCCCAGCTCTAACAGAATTGAATGGCACTTGGAATATGCTGGTACAGGTATATAGGTGAAAGGTGAAGCTCCA